TAAGCACTTTGTGATAAAGCCAGTACTCATATACTACTACTATCCTTGCTACAGTGCATTGCTCTCTAAAACCAGACTAGGGCAGACATCTGGTGGAAGCAGTGCCTTGGGCCACCTCTGAGACAGCACATCTGTCAAGACAAAGCTAGTTTGTCAACACAGTTATCAACGTCACAACCATGCCCACAGTATTTCTTCTTTTGGGGCAAAGAACAGAATGCATAAATTATGATTTGTGTCAATGAGCAGAGTTTCAGAGCACCAGAGGTTTGACTCTCACTAGCTGTCTGATAGAAAAGCAGAGGTGACTCTGATTTCCAAAACCATATTAATCAGATACAAAATATCACCCTGTAAACCAGAAAACCAGAAAAGGTCTTTTTTTTTTTTTTTCTTTTTTTTTTTTACCTTTCTGACACAGGTCAGAAGCAACAGGGTAAGATATCAGCTTATCTTGCTACTCTGCATTTGTGGCATGAAAGAATACACACTATGGTTCTGGATAGTAAGCCAGTAATAAATATGCATGCAGTTTCATACAGGAACTAATGGCTGTGCTTTTCACAATGACCATGGAAAACAATATTTTTTTAATATCTTCTATCTCAGTGATTTATGTTTCATGCTAGTTCACAAAGGACTCTACTTAGTATGTGATGTATGGACTTTAGCAAAAATAATTGTCTGAAGCCTAGCTGAAGGTAGGCTTCCAGGGCATTAATAATGCATTAGGTAATGTTTCTTTCTTGGTATTGCCTATGCAAATTTCTATTATCATAATAAAAATTACTGTTTATTTTAGATTGGAAACAGCTTTATGTAGGAACATGTTTTTATCAGATGTCTTGATTAAATACTGACTGCCAGCTCCCTGATGAACTTTTAACCAAAGTTTTTCCTTTAGACTCAGCAGGTATTTGGTCAGGAAAGAAAAGACAGAAACAGCTTGCTTTGCTAAAAACTGAGAGGGAGCTTTCTGTGCTCCTCTTTCCAAGTGTGGTGGAAGTCCACACTGGCTGGAAACTTTAAACACCGATAACTCACTGGAGAATCATTCATGAATATGAACAGGGAACATATAAAGTCAGATTTAAAATATATACTGCCCCAAATTATTCATTTTGTCAAGCAAGCACAGATGAAGATAATTTCATTTAAATAAATTACTTTCTGACAGAGTCAAATGGCAGTACATATTGTCTGTCCAAAATAGTATTAGATTTGATTGCACTTATGTTAGGTAGATTAGAAATTAACTTCTCCTCTTGAAATAATTTGTGACTTGATTATCTGCTGAATCATTTCCCTTTCCAAAAGATTTCACATCAGCAGACATATCAGAAATAATCTCTTACAAAATATATAAGACATTAGTACATGGCAATGTATTCTTCAGAAGGACTCACACTATATTTTTCTTGCCTCTTCTTTCTGGCTCCACTGAGTTGGTACCTGTTGAATTTCTGAAAACCATCTCAGATGTTGGTAGAAAAACAGGGTAAAGCATCTGGGGCCACTGCTTTGGGAATCTTTCTTCATAAATTATGACTTTTCATAGCAAATACAGTATATTAATGTGTTATGAACACAAAACTATTTTTGTGGGGAAGTAACAAGACAGTTTGTCTGTCTTCCTGTGATTCAGAATGGCCTTGCTATGCATTTGTACCACAAGGTGCCCATGGGACCCATAAGCAAATGAATATTTGATCATTCTGACTGCTGCTATCTAAAGAAGCTGAAAATAAATGCCAGACTGATCATCTTATAAGCTCAGGCTGGTTAGTTTACACTCTGTAGAATGTAGAATGAAAATGTTTTCCACTTTACACATATTTTGCTACCTCTGATTGAATTTTTATGGTAATGAATAATAATAATTCAATTCATACATGTATTTAAAAGACATACAAAACCAATAATAAATAATAGAGATAAAGCCGTTGAAATTTACTAATTGAGATATGCTTAACTGTACTATCAAAATCATTTTCCATGCATGTTACATCATAAAATATGTCACCTTCTTCAATTTCACTGGCAGAAATTTCTCCAAACAGTAGAGTTCTGACAACAAGACATGCATGTTAGGGAGGTGGAACAAGTTCTGTTGCACTGTTCGTTATCTGTTACTGCAGAGAATGAAAAACTGAAAAATGCCTGGGAATGTCAGATGTTCTGAAACTGCTGCCCCTTTCATACAATGTACAGCACAATCTTTGAAATATTAAATAGAAAAATAAATAAATAAATAAATATCATACCATTAGTTCTAGTGCTATTTGAGGACACATACAATTTTTCTCAGATCCCACAAGTCAATTTCTGTGTTTCTGAGAGATGGTGAAAAGGAAGCAGGGACTGTGTGTGAAATCATGTCTACAAACTTGCAAATCTTTCAGGGTTAACCTGTAAGGGAAATGTCTTTTTGTCAGTTAATTGAATAGGATTATGTACTTTTCTGATTGGCAATTGAAAGGAAATGTTCCTCTCCTTTTTTGATCCTTCAAGGGCTTTCTGTACTTTACAGAATCTCTAGTTTCATTTCGAACAAAGCTTACGTTTAATATGTTGTAAGGTGTCTTGAAAGAATTCTCTTGTAGGCATATCCCAATTTTCTCTATAAAATTACAGAATATTATGATTTGACATGTTGTTAAAGCAGAAATTATGGAAGAAGTAATATTCTGCCCAAAGTAAAAGTTAGAACTTAAAATATCCTGTTGACATTTATATAGTAATGTATAAATACGTAGGTATTTATAAATGTATAGTATAAATACCTAGGAAGCTACAACTGGATATAAGTATTTTTCTTTATTCCTTTTAACCATCATACCTTTTCAAATAGTTGCATAATTATATAGCAGTTTTTGCCTGTATAAAAATAATGTGGAATCGTGATCCTAGCAGATGTTCCAAAAATCATATAAACAGGAATTAAGCTGAGAAAATAAAAGGACAGGTAAGCTTTCATCTGCTTCATTTAGTAACTGACCATGGCAAACAATTTAGAACAAACAAAATAAAAAATATTATTCTGGGAAATGAGATTTTTCTTGACCTAGTATCATAATTTCATATCCATCAGACTTGGATGCAAAGCCAACAGCAGTCAACGAATATGCAAGAGACTTCAGATGATAATATTAAGATTCCAGAGATTTTGTTTGTTTTGTTTTCAAATAAGATGCTATAGCTGGCTTATGGTGGACTAGCAAAAATACTTTCAGCACAGTTAAAAGAGTTGTGGAAATCAGAAACAGCAACCTTCCTCTGTTATCTCCCATTTCCCCCATATAGAATCATAGAATGGTTTGGGTTGAAAGGGACTTTCAAAGGTTATCTAGTTCAGCCCCCTGCAGTAAGGGTCATCTTCAACTAGATGAGATTGTTCAGAATCCCATCCAGTCTGACCCTGAATGTTTCCAGGGATGGGATACCTACCATCTCTCTAGACAACCTGTTCCACTGTCTCACCACCATGATGGTAAAAAATTTCTTCCTTATACCTAGTCTAGATCTACCCTCTTTTCATTTAAAACCATTACCCATTGTCCTATTGCAACAGGCCCCACTTAAAAGTTTGTCCCATCTTTCTTGTAGGTCCCTTTCAAGTATTGAAACACCACAATAAGGTCTCCCCAGAGCCTTCTTTTATCCAGTTGAATAACCCAATTTTCTCAGCCTTTTTCCATGGAAGAAGTGCTCCATCCTCTGATCATTTTTGCATCCAGCCTCTGGACTCACTTTAACAGGTCTGTGTCTTTTCCAGTGCTGAGGGTACCTGGAAGCAGTAGTCCAGGTAGTTATATGGAGTGAAGATACAAAGCTTTTCCTTACAGTTCTATCACCCAAACGCTGTAATCAGTTTTCTAGATTGTATCTTTTTTATTTGCTGCAAGATTAATCTCTAGATGTAAGTTCAGAAGAGTTTTATGGAGAAACTCTAATTTGCAGAAGTTTGGATACACAAAACCAACTGAGTTATAAGAAACATCATAATCCATTTGCTAAGAATATTGTCTATTGATTTTGAAAACATGAAATGAATCTGACAAACTTATAACTATAGAATATATGTTTCATTGCCCCAGTCTGTAGCACACTGTATGCTGCAAATTCTGATTCAAAAAACTTCAGGGCAATAGTGCAGTAAAAAGCAGACATCTAGGAAAAGAGCTTATGAAGCTTTTATTAAGCTTATAATAAAAATTAAACTTTTATCACTGAAAGCATTTATGAAGTACAGTTTTATAGAACAAGAATAATTCACTCACTTGTCCATACTAAACATTTGTGGTTTTTCTTTCTCAAGCAATTTAGGTTCATTCTTGTCCATCCCTGTTTTTCATATGCAATTCCAATTATTTTTTTCTTCCTAATCTCTTCTAAACGTTTCCAATTTTGTTTTGGTGCTTTTTTCCAGAAGTCATTCTTTTTGCTAGATCCACCTCAGTAATCAGCCTAAGTAGTTAAAGACAGTCATCATTGCGGAGGGAGAATGCCCATGTGCGACACCTCAAGTTCAGATAGACTTGTGCGCTCATTTTTTTTTTTTTGCTTTTGTAGTTTACCTAATTTGTTTCATTGAGCTAGTTGTGTTGACACAGTGTTTGAACACTGGGTTATGGGCGTCTGCTACTCGACTTCCTGGATACACACACAGAAAGATGCCTTCCTGGGCCGTGTTTCCCAAGGGATCTGCACCTGTGTCAGAGTGAAGACGAGTGGGTAAAACCCCCGAGCCCGAAGAGAACATCTCGCCCCAGCTCCGCGTCCTGCCCGGGGGCAGCGGGGGCTCACCCCACCGACATCGGGTCACGGGCGCCGCTTCACCAGGGAGCCCCAGACACCCGACCGCGGCCAGAGCCGGCGCTGGAGGCGGGCTCCGCGGCCGCGGCGCCGGGGGCGGTGTCCACTCTCCGCTCCGCCCGCCGCCCCGCCCGCCTCCCCGGCCGTAGGCGCGGGCAGCAGCGAAGCCGTCGCCGGGTGGAGTGGGGTCGGGCTGGGCCGGCGGGTAGGGCGTCGGCGCGGGGAAAGGGAGCGAGAGAGCAGGCGGGCGGCGGAAGAGCGGAGCGGTCGCAATCAGTCCCTGGTGCGGCTCGGAGCGGAGCAGCCGAGGGAAGAGCGCGGAGCGAATCGCGGCGCCTGCCGCTGCCTGGATGCCAGAGGCGCCTCGGACGCCGGCTGCCGGCGGCACCCAGGAGGGCCCGGGGGAAGAGGAGGACGAGGAAGAGGCGGCGGCGGCGGCGAAGGAGGACTCGGAGAGCGGAGCGGAGGAAGCAGGCAGCGCTGGCCATGGCCTCCAACTTTAACGATATAGTCAAGCAGGGCTACGTGAAAATCCGTAGCAGGAAGCTGGGGGTAAGTGAGCTCTCCCTTCGCCGGGCTGCCCGGAGTGGGGGCGAGGCGCTGGCCGCTCGGGGGGCGGCCCTGGGGGTGGCGGTGCCCCGGACCGGCGCCGCCAGCGCTGGGCGCGGCGACCTGCTGCTGCAGCTGCCGCCGCCCCTGCTGTTCGGACTTCGCTCCTGTCTCTGTGAGGGTCGGAGGGGGTTCGCTGCCGTCGCACATCGGAGAGAGCCGGCTTCGCCCCTCTCCGTCTCCGGGAAGGCGTCCCTCCTCCCTTCTTTCTTAGCGAGCGCCTTCCAGGGTCACTGTCAGCGGAAAGCTTCGCCCCTCTCCCTCGTCCTCCCGAGTCCCACAGCTCAGGCCAGGGCAGACACCTTGGCGACTTTACTCCCGCCTGCCCCTCTCCTTGCTGGGGCTTGGGTGGGTGAGGAAGGCGCAGGCAGGATCTGTAAAAAACTTTGTGCCCAGATTCCATCCACCTCTCGTTTTGTGAAGGGGGTGTCTTCAAATCAGGGCAAGGTCTGAAAGTACTGGAGGCTGGTACCAGAGCAGCCCACTAGTAACTAAGAAAAGTGGAGTAGGGCTGATGCCCGAGGGCATGGGTGCTGGGGAAGGGGAGCCTGTAGCGGGACGGGCGGCAGGGAGGGAGGGAAGGGGGTGTGAGCTGCTTGGACCGAAAGGCGGATGAAGAGGCTGGCAGTGATCAGAACTAGGGGCCGCCTCTTAGCTGAGGGTGGCTGGCTTCTGCACCCACTGGGATGTTCAGTGAGAACGAAGGTAACACCATGTTATCAGATTGGCCACGGGCACTTCCCCTGCTGGGGCACAGCGAACCTTGAAGAGGCAGTGAAGTCGGAGCAGAGAGCGTTCAGGAGCCAGTGTTTTCTAAACTTCAGAGGGTTCCAGGACTCCTCAGTTCGGACTTCTCCTACCCTTTGTGTGAGAACGAAAACGCGCAGGGGAGTTATAATCCTTGAGGATGTTGATGTTGCCAATAATTCCAAGAGACCAGGGTCACTGTGAGCTAGAGACTGAACTTGGCTGCGTCTTGGAGTGGTCCCTTGGGTTCACCCGTGGGTTTTTTCTGCAGGTGAAGTACTGGGTCCCTGCGTGCTCTCCCCTCCAGGAAGGTGGACTGCTTCTCCTTGCTTTCCTCAAAACCTAACAGAGCAGGGCCATGTGAAATCTCCCATCCTCCCAAGTTGTGTTCTGCGAGCTTATCACAGTGCTAGTATTTATCTCCTCCTCCTCCCCTCTTCTCCCTTCCCCCAAGATGCTGTGCTTTGCTTGCAGACACAGTGTTCAGGATGGTGGGAGACTAATCATAAATTGACCTTTGGAGCACTTCAGTGCCTCAGCAGGGCTGTTAATTCCAAAAGAGCACAGAAGAGTTTGGTCCAAACTCTTAACAGCACCAACTCTAAATGTTTGAGAGATGGTGTGAATTCAAAGAGAATGGATGCTCTTAATGATTTTGCATCCCTAGAGTCACTCCAGTCAATCATTAGTCTATCTGAAGAAGCAATTTCTAAGCCTTAGTTTGTTTCTGGCAGTCCTCTGCTTAATCTTTGCTCATCATTTTTTTGTCAGCTCAGCAGTGTTACTAGATGGGCCCAACACAAAGCAGTGAGATGGTGTCACATCACCTTGATGTTGGTAGCTGAAAGCAGGGTTAATCTATTTGATTTGCAAATCTGTATTGGAAGGTATCTCAGAGTCATTTAAGTGTGAAATTATGTGTATGCATATCTCTATGCAAATAGTTTTATATAGCTATGTGTGTAGTGTGTATGCAACAAATGGGGAATTCATATTACAGTAGTGTTGGATGATACTTGCTGACTTTTGAAAATGAAATTATGGAAACAGTGATTTGTCATTGCAGCATATCTTAAGTAGCTTGGATATTTTATTTTGAGACAATCTGATTTTTTTGAGGGGGTGGAAATATAACTCCATTTTTTTGGTGGATATTATTCATGGTCAGAGGGATTATCATACTTCTACACTAAGCAGAAGTGAAACAATTCAAACAGTATCAATGGAGGATTTTCTCTTACTGAAGAGGTGTGTGGGGGCAACAATCAGACTATACAGCCCCAGGGAGGTGGTGATATAGCTTAAATATGACATATGGGGATGCACATCTGAATAAATCTATTAAGTACAATGTAAAATGGATTATGTTTTATAGAAAATAGCGTCAAAATTCAGATGAGTGTGATGGTTGAAAGGTATGAATATGTGTGTATATATCCATAGATAATTGGATTCTTGCGACTGAATTTTTAAATTAATGCAATTTTTATTCACTAAATGAAACATTAAAGGTTTGTGGGTTTTTTTCCCTTGTGTCTGTCTCCAGATCCAAACCTTAATGAATTACACTCGAGCTGTCATAATGTGGGTGAATATAGCAGTTTTCAGGGATATAAATGTCTGTTAACAAATGAATATTTTTAACCTCCAAAAACATTGAAAGGAGGGAGGAGAGCTATGGGTTCTGGAAATGAAGGCTAAGATAATCTTGAAATATGTAAATGGAATTGTATCTCTTGCTGGTTATGTTTCATTCTAATACACTGGAAATTACTGTTGTTTTGGTTTTTTTTTTTTTTGGGGGTTTTTTTTTGTTTGTTTGTTTTTGGTCATAATCGTCTTAATACATTCTTTGTATATTTTGATGTCTCCTGAAAAGCAGATTGATGAGAACTTGGAGAGCTGAGGTGACTAATACCAATTTTAGTGCTAGACTTGGGCAATAAAAGTAATTCTAACCTTTAGGCTGGTAGCCAACTCATTACTAAAATTCTTCCAGTGCAGCTTTTACTCTGTCTTGTTTCGTGACTGAAGAAGCACTGGCTGGGAATCAAATGGAAGATACTTCAATATAATGCAACCTATTGAGTTTCAGGTAAATCTGAGTGACATAAAACTGTACAGCCAAGATCAGATAGCGCATGTAATTTTATAAAATAAAAAAAATCCAACAGTAACTATCTTTGATTTGGTCTGGTAGAATTTAGTTTTCCAAGAATTCTGTTTTCAGAATCCGAAGTTGTAAGTCTTCTTCTGATTACCTCATTTCATTGATTTTGTACTTTGTAAAATGCAAACTCTTTATGATTTCCCTCCCAAAGGTATGTTTACCTTTGCTTCATTACAGCTGTACCTTTCTTTAAATACTTGTTACCCTGGCTACCTACTCCCCACATAGCTGCAAATCGTTTTCATAGTATGCATGAGTGCTGTCATCAGTCATGGAGGACGGACAGATGTTCAGCCTGAACCACAGTTAGGACTTAGAGCTATGTTGCTATCAGTAAGTGATTCTATTCAGAAAGGTTATTTGAAGTCAGAGACTTAAGTCTGGACGGGAATACAGGGTAAGAGGTACTGTGATAGTTTGCTCTTGCTTTTTTTAGGTGATACCTGATCATTGAGAGTTTTGCAGCCTTTTCACCATAATCATCAAGTCTACCATTGCATTTGCATCTATGGACTCCTGTATCTTTTCAGACAGTTCAGTATGTTCAAGTAGACTTCATTTTTCTGATATCTTTAGGTTGTTAAAGTAGCTTCTTTTGATGGAGGGTCAGATAGCCAGCTTGCCAAAATGAGGAGCTTTATCAGCCTCTCTGTTGTTATCTGCCATCTGCCTCCATTGGGATTATTGTGGTTTCTGCCATGGAGCTATGAGGGCAGGAAGAGACATCCACCCAGTTAGACCATTTAGCTTATTTCCTTACTTTTGTTCAGCATGAGCTGTACTTAAAACTTGTCTATGGTGCCTTTTAATTTTAAATACATTTTAAAGCCCGTGTAGTAATCAGTCTTGCATGTATACATGACATGTTCATTGAGGTATGACAGGTATTGTTGAAACCTAGGAATGGTAGTCAGTGAGGATAATTGTAATTAAAAATCTTTTTAAAATCTGTTTCCTTGCAGCCTAGAGATGCCTTTCTTTTCAGTACTCTGGCATTCCTGTGCTGTTTGATATTTTGCTTTTTCCCTAACACTGTATAAAGGAAATACCTTATTCTTGCAGCCATTACATTTGACCTGTGTGACCCTCCTTTGAAATAAATTTGATTGTAATGTGGTGTGCTGTTCAGATCAGAAGAGGTCATTTGTGTAGCATGGAACAGGACTTTGCTCCCTTTGTTCTTTTGGAATCTTTCATACTTGTGTCACATTAAAATTCATATGACACAATTTTATACTGTGCTGGCTGTGCTCGTAGGCTGAAACTTTCTTGTAACAGATTGGAATCCCTTTGTTGCCTCCTAATAAAATAAGCTGCAAGAATTTCATGCCTTGTTGAAGTGCTGTTCCTTAGATGAAAAACAATTTGATGTCACATTAGGAAGTCTAATTAAAAATGAGCATTGTGCCACTTCTATAGTCTTGGTTTGACCCATATCAACCTTTGAAGTAATAATCTTTTTGTCTGTGTGGGTATTTTTTTTTTTTTTTGGTATGCTTTAGTCACAGAACAGAATCCTATCTATCAAAAGTTTTCACAAGGTTGGTGAATAAATACCGATTTTTTTCTGTGTTTCCACATACTAAGTAGAGTTATTTCCTGAGTGGTTCAACTTATACTCTAATACTGCTATCTGGAAAGAAAATTGTACCTGTCAGTCAGTCTTGAGTGAGTAATAAGTAACAGGTGGCTCTTAGTCACCAAATGAAAAGTTTTACCATATAACTACCCCCCTATCTTAACTACACTTTTAGGTCATTGCAGGTACCTTTTCTGGAAATGAACATCGTGTTTCTTCTGTTGTCAACTGTGTCTTCATCAATCAGCTATGAATATGAAGCTCTGATTGCAGCTTGGCTTCTCTTGGAGTAGTGTAGCATGTGTATTATAAAATCCTAACATTTAATTGATGTTGTGTATATATTTAGGGTGAAGGAAACAAAGGGATCTGCAAAATGTCCTGAGTTTGAGGTTAAGTGGTTAATGGCAGCAACTTTGCAAGTGGGTCGTGATGAAATCAGAGGGC